GGGCCGGATGAGATCTGTGACTGACTGAGTGCCCACACCTGGAGGGGCTGGAGCTCAGAGCTGTGGCGTGGGCGCCAATATTGACGCACTCTTCTAAACCAGATCTCACTGGTGCCGCTCGCCGTCTTAACAGAGCGCCAGCTTTTTCATTCCACCTCAGCCTGAAGAATTTAAAGTCGGGGGCTGCTGGGTCAATGCTGTAAAACGAACAGAGCTTCGCCCGGGTGTGATTTCGGCCAAGTCGCTTCCTGTGCCCCTGCCACAGAGCTCTTCTCCATAGAGCAGCCAGCGAGACAGTCGAGCACGGGCAGCTGCCACACCATCAACACCACCAACAACACAGGAAGAAACGCAAAGGGAGAAGGGCCACCTGGGATTTCCAGAAAAGCAGCAGGGAATTGGGATTGTTAAAACAGCTATCACCTGGAGAAAAGGCACACTGCTGGCACTGTGAGCTCTGCCTTGCGATCAGAGCCTCAGTTTCCGTCACCAAGGGCAAAGAACTACGCCAGAGGGAGGACTGTGTGTGAGCATGAGGCGGAGGGGCGGGGGTTTGGGGGGTGGGACATCAGATCCGATAAACAAGCTAACAAAGTAAATCATTTCGGGCTCCGTATGATATTAATTACAGCCTTCCGGTACACTCAAGTGCAGCCCTCTCCATGCACAGCAGTGGCCCTGAATATTCATTTCATCAAGTCCCCGCTAATAAAGGCGACGGGCTGCCTCATCAGAGACCCCTCATCAGCCTCTGATTGTGGTGTGTGGAGAGGGAAGGGGGGGGGGGTTCTTTGTGTGAAACTGGCTCACTGGATAACCACAGGAAGGTGCAATCATTCACTCACACCAGCTTTCCAGCGCCTGGCCCGTGCTCATCTCTTACAATAAGACCATGCTTTTGATTCTTCTTTTGTTAGCAGGGCAATGAAGGATATTACCCTGTGTTCAACCCTTGCATGCTGGAGAAATAAAGGCTATCAGGGGATGATTTAAAAAGTGCTCATAAAATGCAGCCTATATGTCCCAGGGAATGGCTATTGACGCATTTGATTGCTATGACACGCTTCAGGAAAGCAACTGTGCTGCCGGTTATTTATCACAAATTAAGACTATGAGGACGGGGTTATTTCAAATCTTAAACTACCAGAAAACACCTTTAAAAGCCCAAGCAAAAGTCTGCGCATCCTGCAGAAGATCGGGTTGTTGATCAGTATCACCAAATGCCCCTTGAGAAGGAATGCGGGGGATTATTTTCTCGCAAGGCTTCAGTGGACCTTGAGCTGAGAGCGACACGAACCCGCGTCTCTTCAAATGGAATCTAGCTTGGTGGGATGTCCTGCAATCTGACTGGAATGATATCCGGGCCCCATTTCAGAGCAGCGACATCACAGTGTCATTGGATGTGAAATTAGCACTGCAGGGCAGACAAGAATTAAGACTGATGTTGGGACTACTTGGTCGTTAAAGATGACATGATTCTGTTCATAACACTCAACCTCGGCGTCCCGGCTAAACACACCAAGCAAGCGATTTAGGAACCATCTGATCTGCTAAAATCCAGAATCCCGTACTTTCTTTGGTAAATCTGTACAAGTGGTACATGCCTATGACCAGGCAACATATGCAGAACTGACAAAGAAATGACAGACAGGTCTAGCTGCGCGTTTGCATTAACAGGGCGCCGTTTAACCAAGAAAGAGCATGTAGTCACCAATTTAGTCACGGGAGGTCCGTAGCACAAAGCTGTACCAAAAGGGCGCAACCTCCTCTCTAAACTCTGGCAATCCAAAAAAGATCAGTCACATCCGCTTATTACTAAAGTTCGCTTTTTCACCGATTCAGCGGTATCTTCAAACACCAGGTCTGCCTCCATTAACAAATGGGCTGAAAGAAGCACAAAGAATCCCCGCAGGAGTACTAATTGTTATATTTTTTGATGCTGGGATGTTAATGAGTCTGGAGATCAAAGGCAAGTGGCTTTGTGCTGACAGGCCCCACAGGACAGCCTGACCCACATTCTCCTCCCCTGCCCCACAGCCTCGCTGCCAGGCGCTCAGAGCCCCAGGGAGCCCCCCTGAGCTCTGCACCCCCACACACCGGCACCGGGCAAACTCCAGCAGCGCCTGGCCGCAACGGAGACGCGGCACAGCGCATCTTCATGGGCCTCCACCAAAAACAACAACAACAAAAAAAAAAGAAGCAGAATCGGCAGAATGATTCAGTCGCACGGGGGCAAGGGAAGCAAAACACAGATGGCCGCAATCTGCTGCGCGGGGAAAAAAAAAAAGTTTGCCGCCAAAAACTCTGGACCACCTTTTCGCAAACAGGTTGCCAGCGGAGAGCTGGTTCAGGTGTCACACAGACTCGGGACAAATCTGTAAGCCATGCAATATTTCTAGTAACCAAGAAGGCCTAACATGCAGAAAATATCCCATACACGTCCCTGCAGAGACAGCTACAGTTACAGCAAAACCTCTGCTAATAACTCAGTAGATATAATGAGAACCAGTTTGACTGCTAAATAACAGTGCTCAACAATGTGTTTCATTTCAAACACAATTCGCAAGAAGCCTGGGATGATGTGGATATAAAATTCGAAACACGGCTCTCGAGTAGCTCCCCAGGGAAAAGGCCGTCTTCTTGTATAAAGCTCTCGCTGGCGCTCTTAACAAAAGAAAAGAATGAAAGTAGTTGACAGGGTGATCTTTCCAGGCGCACCTGAAGAAAGTCTTTATTTGGCACTGTAATTTTTCCCCACTCTGGTGTTCTTTTCCACAGCACGCCAGCCTCCCCAGTCTCGCCCCGGACTGCCGTTCCCTGGTCCGTACGTGATCGTCCACCCCCCCACCCTCCATCACGGAACCAAAAAATAAAACAGCTGCCTCTCTCTGACCCACCTCCTCTCTGGCTGGGAGACTGAGAGCTGGAGCTGTGGGCTGGGATCGATACGGAGCAGACTGGAAGAACACCCCCTCACAGGTCGCCGGGAGAGACCAGAGATGTTTTTACACATGAGGAGTCAGATGGAAGGTTCTGCTGTAGACGAGAGAAGCTTCTCTTTCATCCTCTCTGTTTTTGGTTCCTACTGTATTTTGCCATTTAAGAGAAGGGGGGCTGCACAGCTGGGTACTGGGAAATGTGGCGGAGCGGTGGCTCTGTGGCTAAGGATCTGTGGCTGGAAGGTTGCCGGTTCAAATCCCGCGGCTGGCAGAGGAATCCTACTCCGTTGGGCCCCTGAGCAAGGCCCTTAAACCCAGCTGCTCCAGGGGCGCTGTACAATGGCTGACCCTGTGCTCTGACCCCAAGCTTCTCTCTCTGTCTGTGTGTCTGTGTCTCCATGAAGAAAAGCTGGGGTATGCGAAAAGACAAATTCCTAATGCAAGAAATTGTATAGGGCTAATAAAGAAACATTACATTATTAAACATTATGTGATTCCCCCACACACCTGTCCAAGCCCAGCTGGGACCCAAGCTCTGAGGAGATGACCTAATTAGGGGTCAGAGGTCAGGTAAAAGCAGAGATCGGACAAATGCATTCCAACTCATGTCATCTTTTTACAGATATTAGAAAATACTTCTAAATACATGTTATGCTTATTTGCAATGGCTGCTCCACTGTAACATCCCCTCTGTGGCAACAGTCATACTGATCTGCCTGAGGCGTCGAGATCTCTGCGTTGAGATCAAAGTCCCGCAGATAAGCACAGGACCTGACAAAGAGTCGGGGGGGAAAAGAAAACCAGCCTTAGTGATGCAAGTCACACTCTTGTCCTGATCCCAACGCAATCAGAGAGCCCCGCTCAGTGTGCTTTGCCCCAGACAGCATGAAATCACTGCTCTCAATAACGTGCAGAAAGGGCAGGACTGAGTCGGAGCCTCACGCTCTCCGGCACAAACATCTCCCCCCACAGATTGCTGCGAGACCCCCAGCTAAGAACCACAACAAACAGCAGCAACGCGCCTGCAGCGGCGACACACAGCCCGAGATCAGAGACGACCGTTCGTGTCCGAGCGCGGAGGATTCCCGGATGCGGCGTGCAGATGGACTGAACCCCCGCCCGGATTTTGTGCACCAATAACAGCCAGCACCAGCAGAAGGAACGCTGGAGGCCACAGCCTCTCCGGAGACTCCTGCTTCAGCAGCGCCCAGAAACACCGAGGACAAGAGACGATCCTGGAAGAGCTGGGCGGCGAGGTTCAATTATTTCTCCTCCTCACACGAAAGCCTTGTACTGCGGAGCACGCTGTCTGATACAGTTCGAAGGACTCTGTGTTACTAATAGGTGATCACTCATCACCAGGGCTGGGATCAATCGGGCTCTGGAGTGACGGCACACGAGAGCAGACAAACTCGCGTTCTCTTCCCAGGGTCTCTCACTTTTATGACATGAACTCTTCCCTCCCCCACTCAGTTCAAACAGGCTTTGAACGCTCTCCCACTCGCGTCTGCACCCAGACGAGCCGGACCCAGAGCTGTCCTCCATCCTGACGCCTTCTGCCCTCCTACGGCCTTTTCAGCTCAGCACCACAAAATCCTACTACCAGAACGCACAACGGACACGACGGCACAGGCCACTCTCTCTGAGACCAGCCTCGCCAGTCCGTAGCTTCAACCCCCCCACTGTCGGTTCCTCCCACGCAGACACCCCGAGCTCAGCAAGAGGACTGGACCCAACCACATGGAACCGGGCCCCTCGACCGAGACTGACCCGGCTTCCTTCTAATTACATTATTACATTATTATCTATTATCTATTATCTATTATCATATTACATTATTATTACATTATTATCTATTATCATATAACATTATTATGACATTATTATCACGTAACCTTAATTTCGTAAGCTTCATTTTGCGATTCCTGTGAGCTCACAGAAAAGACATTGCATTGCCAGCAACGACTGCTGCGTGCTGCATTGCCGTGCGTTTGCTGAATAAGCTGGATTTGATTTGAATCCGCGAGCCTGGCACGGAGGCGCGGCGCGGCGGGTACCCACCTCGATCAGCTTGCGCTCGTAGCTGGCCGCCAGCTCCTCCACTTCGCCGGCGGGCTTGGGCGGGGGGGCGGGCGGGGCGCCGTCGCCGTTCCCCAGCGCGGGGAGAGCTGCCGGAGGAGAGGGGAGAGAGTGAGCCACGGGGGCGGGCTAGGAGGGCACCGTAGAGGCTGGCCAGCAGTCGGCCGCACAGAGCGGCGCTGTCTATTCTCCTCATTTACCAAGGCTCGCCGTTAACCTAAACACGAATTCTCTGTTTACAGCTGGCTTTTCTGCTTACAACTGGTGTGCGATATATGCTTGTGGATAATGTGAAATATATTTATTTATACAATACATCTTCTTGTGTACTGTCCATTCTGGTTTGTTTCTGAATATTCTGGACTGTGTGCAATTCTCTATACTCTATACATTTTTACGGCACTTCTCACTGACTGTGCCTACTGTGTTGTATTGTTGTATTATTGTATTAGTACGTAACACTGGACTGTGTCGACTGTGCCTGGCTGCTGTTGCACTGCAATCTCCCTCAGGGGATCAATAAAGTATCTATCTAAATATGAGGAACTTAGTAAGTGATTTACGGTTCAGACAAGCTGATACAAATCCCAGCTTCCTCCCCTAGAAGCGCCCTTGACAGTGTGACATGGCTGGTTCTGAAGTTTGTAAAGAGGCTAATCAATTTCAGCCTTTACTAAAAAGGCTAATATACCTGTTTAATGCATTTTTTGAGGAAAGGCACAAAAATGATTGCCTATACAACTTTCAGCTGCAGGAGGAATGATTCTTTCGATCCCGAGTAAATGGATCAGACTTTGTTCGGAGGCTATTTGAGAACGTGTGCATCGCTGGTTATGAGCGAGGAACACAGAACAACAGCCCTATAAAACATTTATTTTCAAGCAGCTAGAGGCTCTGAAAGAAAGCAATATCTCAGCAACAACAAAAAACTCACAAACAGACAGATCAAATAACTCTCAGAGAACCAAATATAATTTTCTCCTGACTTTAAACTCTGTGTGTTCAGTTCTAAAATGTAAAGAAACACATAAATAAAAAAAGCACTGCGGACTCATAATGAATGAAGGATTTGGAAAGAAGATTTTATGAGGAAGCTAAAGAGATCTTCAGGTTCAAGTTGAAACCAAAGCATAAGGCAACCTAGAGCGCAATGTGGGTTTTATCTGTTTGAGGCATCTTGAACAAACCGTATTCACTAAGTAAAAATGCAAATACATCTGTATTTAGCGCTACTGTGTCTTCACACGTCCAAGAAGATCTGCTGAAACCAAGGTGACATCCAGCACCTTCAGTGTACACATAGAGAGATCCTAAAGCTCACAAAACAATCCGACTTCCCAGAAACAGGGGTATCATCCTCCTCTGCACTCCACACTGTGTACATACAGTATAGTGAGACACACAGATTGGCTGTTCCAGCTCCATCGCAGTTCTCTTACAGAAATACATGCGGATCACTTATGGCTGCAGTATGAACTCATCATCTTTGACCCTGGCCCAGAGCGGATAACAAGTGCCTGACTCACTGGGCAGCACCACACGTGAGGTCAGAGGTTAAATGCCCAGGGACTAGAATGACCGTCAGGGTCAGAGCACTGTCTACCAGGCCCTGCAATACTTGGCCCAAGGCCAATGGTACCACGACTGACAATGAATGTGTCTTCTGCACCAGCTGGTCTACCCTTGGAGTGAATACAGACATCATTCCTGACCTGACTTTGGGTTTCCTGCACTGCACAGGCTTGTGCCACCATGTCTGTTAAAACCCAGGAGACAGTCTTCGTGCAATCACTTAAACTGTCTCCTGAAAACACTTGAAGCCCTGGGTGATGCCAGACCAGAAAAAAATATAAAACACACTCTTGACACATTTCCAGCTGTTCTAGTGCACAAAGAGGTGCCCAGGGAGGGGTGGTCCGGATCTTCTGTATCCAGCAACAAAAAAAACTTCCAGTGTTGTTAACCATACAATTCATCCACCGCAGCATTCAAGACAAAGTGCAGATTTCTCTTTCTGACAGCATGCGCCACATCAGAATTGACACTGGCATGCAATCACGTCAATTATATTGCATGCAATTCTTTCTGCGGCTCTACAACCTGTGCACATTAGCATCACTGATGGGTTTAAAAAAAAGCCAAGTTAATTGAAGTGCGGTAATCAAACTAATCTCCCTTAATTTCGAAATCACACGTCGCCTGCTTTCATGGCATCTCTTTCAGTTAAAGTCAGCATATCATTACATCAGAGATTTTGACTGCTTTGATAACGCTAAAATTACAGGAGGCGGCTGCTACAGTAATTTAAAATGACAAGACAATTTCATATGCGGGGCACAAAATTGCATGCTGAATACACAGTGTACCTCTGCCATGCCAGACGTGAGGAAAATTAATCCACTTTAATTCCACCTTTTAATTTTCCTTCCTCGTAAACAGCGAGCGTCCCTTTTAAGCGCTTGAGAAATTACATTCCTGAGCGCTTGGATCAGAGGCTGTTTACTGGAAAGAAAGAGACTGGAAACGTCTCTGGCTGTTTCCCAAAACGCACACGGTGACTCGAACGTATAAAAAGCAAATTGTAACAGATATCAGTCAAATTAGCCGCAGCATTTTTTCAGCACCGTTAGCAGATGTGCTGGCGGACAGGATTGGATTATACACACACCCTATTACCACACAGATCACTGCCACAACACTGCGAATCCGACGGCAGCGGTGCCTTTGAAATTGTTTTAAAATAAGACTTGGATGTCATCCAACCCGTGAATCATTCAAAATATTGCAAAGAAAACATTAACTTCTTGTTTGCAGACGGACCATTCTCCCAATTCAGTGAGGGCAATTTTAAACTCATATACACAAAAGGTGACTGCATAAAATCCCCTGAGGAAATCAGGACTTGTCTCGTGTTAGGAAGAAGAAGGTTTTTTGTTTAAGGATCTTCTGGGCGTGTCTGGTCCGCACGCAACTTGCAAGACGCAGAGCGAGTCTACAGAAGGGCGATATCTACCTGTCCAGCCAGCTGAGCTCAAGTTTGGTTGAAGAAGTGGGGATGTCTGGCAGTGGGGAAAGACAGACACTGAACCCCAAAACTATTTACAAAATGGCATGGGAGCCATGCAGGGCATCTCTCTTCTTGTTGAGCGTTAACAGATACAGTCCTAGCAATGCCAGGTCACGCCACAAGACGGCATGGGACCATCCGCCAGTGCAGATGAATGGCTCTCCCTGGAGACAGGGACTCGGAACAGTGCTTCTCTACCTCGGATGAAGATGCCCTGCAGACGTATGGTCTCATCCATCAATGTGGAGATGGAAAGCGGAAATCTTAAGACTTAGAGAGTCAGAAAAGCTCCTGAACAATACCCTATCGCAAAGCTGCAAATGACTGCACAACTCAGAGAGTGACCAAATTTGCAGAAATTCCCCTCCGGAGCCTCTTAGCTCAGGGGCGTCAAACATATTTGCTGTGGCGTAACAGGACTGATTTTTATCTGCATGCACAATTCGAAAATGAATTGTTTGAAACAAAAACAAACACCCACTGTATACTTTTCTTTTTTTTTAAGTAAAAAGGACATCTTGGAAGTGACTCATCCCTCCTTCCCCCACCCTCGGAAGTATGTAGCTGGAAACAAACTCACTTCAAGGGATTTATAATCCTGTACGCTGAAAAACTATTATTCCATCCAAGAATAAGAGAAACACAAATGCCCCAAAAGATGATCTAGACCTCTGTTGCAAGAGCCCTCCCGCCGTTGGGAGAGTTTGACAAATTGGTTTATGCAAATGGATTAGGCGCCATCGCGGCTTCAAACTTGAACAAAAATAGAAACAGCAACAAACTAAACTGATGAAAAGGGGAGACTGCTGGTCAGAGAAGAGGGAAGGAAAAGGTCTGGCATCAACAGGGAAAATTCAGCCAGGTGACAACTCCCCAGTGACTGCTTCACCAGAGCGATTAGAGATGGCTTCTTTTCTCAACTGCTTACACACAGTTGAATCAATAAGTGTCAAGAGCACCGAGCTACACGGCAGCTTCGTAAGCACAGAGTTTGAGCAGTATCGACAACTGCCTCACAGGAAATTAGGTCGCCGGCCTGTCCGCAGAACACTGTTCTGACAGCAGATCCGTCCACCAGTCTGTCCACAGGGCACTGTTCCAACAGCAGATCTAGGTCTGTCAGCGGAACACCGTACCAACAGCAGGCCCCTCCTGATCCCAGTCTGTCAGAGGAGATCTGTCCTGATCCCAGTCTCCGCAGCGCACCTTTTCAACAAAAGATCCCTCCTGATCCCAGTCTGTCCACAGGACAGGTTGTAGAACAGAGGTCTCTGTTTAATTTCTCAGAGGATCTGGTGCCTTCTGGTTTTTAATCCAGCCAAAGTTGCGAATAGTAATTGTTCTTATTTTTTTAGTATATAGGATATTTCTTTTATATAGGGTTACTTTTGCTGTCAGTTGCAAAATACTTTTAATTGGTTCCTGTATAGTTACACATAAAATTACCCTCAGCCTTGTAATTACAGTTAAATAATTAGATCAGCTATGTAACTCAGAGTTCAACTTAAAAAATATTTCAACTGCAGTTACAAAAGCTACACTTAATGTTTTTCTTTCAGCCTACTGTACAAGGTAGATCGAACCATAGATTTTGTGAAATCTACAAAGACGCAACACCTGTGATCTATAAGGTGTTTGCAGATACTCGGTACCTCATAGCAATGTAGCTCTCTTTTATCCAATGGGAGTGATGCAGGAGCTGCATTAATCTTCACCACTGCTATTCAAAGTTATTCCAAAACAAAAGACGAGGCATTAGCAAACTCAAGTTCACTGTGCAACAATAAATAAGCCTAAAAAAGCAATAAATCCAAGGGATAAAGAAGATTAAATGAATTATTGCAAGATCTTTGCTTAAAATGGACTGTTTCAATGTCTTCTAGCTAAGCAAGTAATGGCATTAACAAATGAAGACAGCTGCACAGAAATAAAGCTACTCTAAAAGAGACTGATCATGAATAAGAATGTAGCATTAACAGAGCTTGGAAGCAATAGGAAGACTAGGACAGAATACTCATCCCA